CAATGAGTGTGCTCCAATGTACAATATTTAGACTATTGAATGTGCTTCAATGAACTATATTTAGACTATTGAGTGTGCTCCAATGAACTATATTTAGACTTTTGAGTGTGCTCCAATGAACTATTTTTATATCAATGAGTGTGCTCCAATGTACAATATTTAGACTATTGAGTGTGCTTCAATGAACTATATTTAGACTATTGAGTGTGCTCCAATGAACTATATTTAGACTTTTGAGTGTGCTCCAATGAACTATTTTTATATCAATGAGTGTGCTCCAATGTACAATATTTAGACTATTGAGTGTGCTTCAATGAACTATATTTTGACTATTGAGTGTGCTCCAATGAACTATATTTAGACCAATGAGTGTGCTCCAATGAACAATATTTAGACTATTGAGTGTGCTCCAATGAACTATTTTTTGACTATTGAGTGTGCTCCAATGAACTATATTTAGACAATTGAGTGTACTCTAATGAACTATATTTAGACCAATGAATGTGCTCCAATGAACTATATTTAGACAATTGAGTGTGCTCCAATGAACTATATTTAGACTATTGAGTATGCTCCAACGAACTATATAAATAAAAAATAGTTAGACTATTGAGTTTACTCCAATGAACTATATTTAGACTATGGAGTGTGCTCCAATAAACTATATTTAGACCAATGAGTGTGCTCCAATGAACTATATTTAGACCAATGAGTGTGCTCCAATGAACTATATTTAGACTATTGAGTGTGCTCCAATGGATCCAAGACAAAATAAACTGGAAGAATTCCAATTTAAACAAAAACTTATAGAAGAGCAAAATAGGTAATTTTTTACTCATTTAACTAAACTCCTCTTTCATTTGTTCATTTATTTATACCATAACTATCATATACTACATCTTCTATATATATCTCTGTTTGTCTGTCTGTTTGTTTGTCCAATCATACCTTAGGAACCCCTGGATCAGTTTGNTTATCTATTCATCGTTTAAATATTCATTCATCTATCTACTAAATTTGTTCATCCTATTACTTATTCATTTTTTACATTTTTATTCATCTATTCATTCTTTTATATTTATTTATCCATTCATTTTTACATATTTATTCTTTTTTTCATTTTATACATTTATTCATACATTCATCTTTTACATATTCATTCATATATTCATCCTTTTGTCCCTTCTTTCATTCATTCATCCTTTTATCCATTCTTTCATTCATTCATCATTTCATCCATTCCTTCATTTATTTTTCTTTTTATCCCTTATTTCATTCATTCGTTCATAGATTCATCCTTTTATCACTTCTTTCATTCATTCATTCTTTTATCCATTCCTTCATTCATTTATTCTTTTATCCATTCTTTCATTCATTTATCCTTTTATCCACTTTTTCATTCATTTATCATTTTATCCATTCTTTCATTCATTCATCATTTCATCCATTCCTTCATTTATTTTTCCTTTTATTCCTTCTTTCATTCATTCAGTCATTCATAGATTCAACCTTTTATCACTTCTTTCATTCATTTATCCTTTTATCCCTTCTTTCATTCATTCATTCATAGATTCATCCTTTTATCACTTCTTTCATTCATTCATCCTTTTTTCCATTCCTTTATTCATTTATCCTTTTGTCCCTTTTTTCATTCATTTATCATTTTTTCCCTTCTTTCATTAATTTAGTTATTCATTCATTCATTCATTCATTCTTCCTTTCATTCATTTATTCCGTCATTGATTCATTTCTTAATCCACCCATTTTTACATTCATTTATTGGTTTCTTATTTTTTTTTTATTATTTAGTTCTTCTTTCATTTATTCTCACTTCTTCGTTCACTTCTTTATTAATTTCTCTTATTCATTCATTTATTAGTTTCTACATTTATTCATTTATTTTTTTCATCATTTCTTTACCCAGTGCTTAAATAAAACATTCGATTTTACTCTTTTCGTTTCTTTAGACATTAATTGCTTCATTCATTCATTTCTTGTTTCACTTCATTCACTTATTCATTCATTTTTTCATTCAATTCTTTATTCATTTATTCATTCATTTTTTTTATCAATTTCCTCACTGATTGCTTCATTCAATATTAATTAATACATTATTATATTTCTTTTTTTATTTCTTTATTTTATTCTTAATTTATGTTTTAAGGAAAAGATATGACCGAGCTGAGAAGGAGTTTGTAGAAGCTAAACTTCATCTTTTCAGCTCTTTAGAAAGGAAGGAACTACTTACTGATCATCTTTGCACAATTATAGAGCAGGTTAGGTGTTAGGTACTTTCCCAAAACCATTTTCCCAAATGACAATTTCCCAAGTGGCAACTACCTAAAAGTGCAATTTCCCAAGCGGCAATTTTCCAAAAGTTATGTTAGGCCTTCTGTGGCGCCGCGCAAGCTGCAGTGGGGGGATCCGGGCGCTACGGCTATGATGGGATCTGAGGCCGAGTGCTGCGGCTATGACGGAATATCAGGCGGAGTGCTGCGGCTAGAACAGGCTAGTTGGCCGAGCGCTGCGACTAGGATAGACTTGAAAAGTTGCCGCTTGGGAAAAGGCCTTTGGGAAAGAACCTAACATTGCAGGTTATTATCATAGAGCAGGTTATTATCATAGAGCAGGTTATTATCATAGAGGAGGTTATTATCATAGAGCAGGTTATTATCATAGAGCAGGTTATTATCATAGAGCAGGTTATTATCATAGAGCAGGTTATTGTCATATGGCAGGTTATTATCATAAAGGAGGTTATTATCATAAAGGAGGTTATTATCATAGAGCAGGTCATTATCATAGAGCAGGTTATTGTCATATGGCAGGTTATTATCATAGAGCAGGTTATTATCATAAAGCAGGTTATTATTATAGATCAGGTTATTGTCATATGGGAGGTTATTATCATAGAGCAGGTTATTATCAAAGAGCAGGTTATTATCATAGAACAGGTTATTATCATAGAGCAGGTTATTATCATAGAGCAGGTTATTATCATAGAGCAGGTTATCATCATAGAGCAGGTTATTATCTAGAGCGGGTTATTATCATAGAACAGGTTATTATCATAGAGCAGGTTATTGTCATAGGGCAGGTTATTATCAAAGAGCAGGTTATTGTCAAATGGCAGGTTATTATCATAGAGCAGGTTATTATCATAAAACAGGTTATTATCATAGAGCAGTTCATTATCATAGAGAAGGTTATTATCATAGAGCAGGTTATTATCATAGAGCAGGTTATTATCATAGAGCAGGTTATTATCATAGGGCAGGTTAATATCATAGAGCAGGTTATTATCATAGAGCAAACTATTTGGAAATCAACCAAGAAAAACATAAATCTGCTAAATTTAGATTTCAATTTAGAGCTAAGAGTAACAGGTTGCCTCCTGAAGAAAATACTATTTTGTATTTGAAATGTATATTGTTAAGAATGAGCTGCGTAAAGCACGAAGACTTGAGGAACTAATGGTTGAACTCAGTCTTAATTCTGAACCTACCGTTGCTCAGGTTAGTGTCCACTGTTCTAACTTGTCCTAGCCGTAGCGCATTCTCAAAAAAATTATGTTGAACCCCACATGACCCAAAGTCAAGGAAAGGTTTATGGCTGGTCGAAATGTAAGAAAATATTTTTTTATTTCGAATACCGCAGGAAAATCTGCGAAAATTTTTAAACAATGATGAAAACGCTGAGGAGAAAATAATGGCATTGAAAGTAGATCTAAAATCAATTGCATTGAAAGCAACCAAAATTAGTTAAATTATTAATAGTTTATTGATTTTTTTAAAACACAAATATTTAATTTCAGAATGGAAACCTTCTCCCCGAGTTTAGAACAACGCAGGATCCAAGTCCAGTTCAGAAATCTGAAAACTGACAACCTGTTTAAATCAAAATGGCGGTTTAATGGCATCCACCTGTGCTTCCAAAATTTTTGCTGAAAGGGATTGAAAGTGTAATTTAAACTCACCCTCATGCAAAGATGGCAATGTCTGATTCACAACAGTACCCTTAAAACAATTAATTTATTTATTCGCTGATGTGTAAGATATCGGTTTTTTTTTCTAGGTTTAATTGTGTTTCAGTCTGTTTCAAAAAACAGAAAAACGATAATTGAAATTATAATTTGAAATTATCAAAGAAAAGTTTAAAAGGCCGTTCTGAATCTGGCATTTCCATCTTGAAGAATGTTTTTACGGTTTTTTTAACAACACCATTTTTACGCAATAATATTTAATCCTAAGCTGTGATAATGATAATTACTTCTCTTACAAAAAAGTAGTCTTTGTATAACAAGCATGAACTTTTATATTTTTGGTATTATGTAAACATAGTTATTATGTAAACATAGTTATTATGTAAACATAGTTATTTTTTCACAATTTATGCAATAAAGTGCCTTAAAGAAATTAATCCAGACGTATTCCACCAAAATCTTGAAAATATCTTTATTTTGTTTTGTATAAACAAATATTGTCATAATAGCAACCAACAAAGGAATTCCTTCGGGTTTTTAAGTCACTTAACGGTGATAATTTTATCTAATCTAATAATTTATTATTAATCAAAAAAGCTCTTAGATCAGATCATAACAAAATAAAAGTTCGATTATAAATTAAAGTTTAAACTGAGTTCTTTAACAATTTGTCAAGCTTTAAATCAACATATGAATGTATTTTACATAATGTATCTTTTAGTGCATCCAAGGTTTATATTCAATTGTTAACAGTGGTGCAACAGGGGGTGCTAGCCCCCCCCCCCATGTCGAAGTAAAAAAATGGCATTTTTTATTGTAGAAGGGTCGGCTCTGTGCTCAATAATATACCAAATTCTTATGATATCCATGGTTTGTTCTTGTGTTACATGAGTAAATTAATTAAACATGTGCGCGAAGCGGCAAAAAATGCTGTTCTAGTGTCTTTTCTTAAATCCACTTAAAAATTTTGCGCGTTTTTCTTCTTTTCTTTTCAAATATAAACTTGTAAAGTAAACAAGAATCCCCTATAAACAATTTTTTATTACTATTAACATGTTTTTCACGTTTTGTTTCTTATTTATCTTCTTTCAAATTTAAACAAGAGTATAGTTTAATTATGAAATACTAGCTGAAGGGCTAAAAAATAAAATAAAAATTGAAGAAAAAAAATTTAGATTTTTTAAGACTATAAACCTATAACGGCCACCCATGAGTATCCCACAGAAAATGTTAGCCCAATCAGTCCAGCAGTTTGGCCGGCTATACGCAACATATATATATATACACGAATGTCTTGTTTTATTATATAGATTATATAAACAGCTGTCTTTATTTTTGTAAAAAGTTTTGTGTTTTCTGTATGAAATTTGGTTTGAATATAAAATAGTTTGAATATACAATAGTTTCAGGTTGAAGAATGAGTAGGTTTGACCGTGTGAAACAGTGGTCAACTTTTGCCCGAACCTGGCATCTATACGACGCAAAGTGGCAGAATCCTTTTCATTCAGCAAAGGTACGCGATCAGCGCTCATTGTTCTTAAACTAGGGACTATTTGATATCTTTTTAGTCTATGTAGAGGGGCATGTCTAATTTACAACGATGTCCCTTAAACCTTCATTCTATTGGAAATCATTTTTTTCTGATTAAAATCACCTTATTTGTCTAGCTGAAAATTTATCAGGATTAATACTATGTCGTGCGGATTTATACTGCGAAAATAGAAAGGAATTAGTCGAAAAGAAAACAGACTATATCGTTCACTTTCTTGCGCAGAAAAATGTTAAAGGGTACTCTTGTGAATCGGTGATGCAACTCCTCAATTACGTTTAGGCCCATTTGCATTTTTGTTGAAATATATTTATCTATCTAATTTCTTGACTATCTATCTACAATCTACATATTAGTAATTTCCATCAACCTAACATTTAACAGAAACAAAATATTCAAAAAGAAAATCTAACATTGTTTAACAGTTTATTTACACACATTTAAATTTACGAAATATATACAAAAATCACTTTTTGGCTTTTACTGAGTTAAATGTTGCTAATCCTGAACTATTTCCTGCTGAACATAATGTTTACGTTTGCTGAACTTATCGTTGCTATTGCAGATCACATTGTTGTTATTGCTGAACACGTTGTTACTTTTGCTGAACACATTTAATCGATTAACTAAAAGTTGCCGATAATGAATTGATTGCCGATTACTCGATTGACCATCAGTTGGTAGAACAGCCCTCGCTTATTCACTCTCTCAGACAACTGTCTTGATCTCCTCTTCTTGATGGATTTCAGACTGGTTTTATTCTTCTCAGAGTCACGGGATTTATCCTTAGCTTTAGTCACTCTATCATCATCGCTGTTTTCAGTATGATCAACTTTTTTCTTAGCTTCCTCATTGTCCAGTCCAAGCAGCTCTCTTATACAGCTGTCAATTGTTAACAAACTGTTGATTGATTCAGTACTAGGGTTAAAGTCGTATAACAACTTGTCGCTGTCGTCTGTTACTAAGAACTGCGACAGATCCCCCTGGAGTTCGAGTAAAGGAGAAATTAGCGTAACCATTTTGAAATTCTCTCTTTGAAGATCAATTTCTGACTGATTGTTGGAACCATATGGAGCTGTATGGTTGGCTTGTATGTTGGGGGTGGTCGACGGTCACCCTGGCTGGCAATTAGATTCTGCGGTCAACCTCGGTTCCTGGTCTTGTCTACCCCCTTCTTGTTGCTTTCCCCCTCCCTTTTCTAGTACACTCCCTCACCTCCCCCTGTTTCTAAATCGGCCCTATAATTTGGTCGCTTAATTACGAAATTTCGTCGCTTTTGGGAATGAATGATCTATCTATCTATCTTGCTAGCTAGCTCTCTCTAACTATCTATTTATCATATGTCTATCTATCTATTTACCATATATCTATCTATATCTATTTATCTGCCAACTATCTATCTCTCAATATAACTAACTATTTATCTATCTAATAACTATCAATCTATCCATCTAACTATCTATCCATCTATCTATCCATCTAACTATCTATTCTAGATAATAACGAACCACCTGGAGGGAAAGAATAAGCCTATTTATCATCCTAAGAATGACTGTGGCGACCATGTTGTTGTTATTAATAGTAAACATATTGCACTCCTAGGTAAGAGAACTTTTTTAAACTAAAGATATTGTTCAATGTTCATAGTTTTATGTAAAAAAAGGGAGGGGGGAACGAAACAAAAGTTATCCATTGTTTTGAAAATTAAATTCTAAATTCTACAATTACCGCTCTTTCCGCAGGCGCTTTATTTTTATGGTGCAAAACTATAACTCAATGTTGATATTGCAAAACTATATTTTTTCTTTCAAATGATTTTAACTCTATAAAAGAAACATTAGCTGCTGTTTTTTCAATAACATCTCTCTCTGCAATTGTCTCTATCCGTCTCAATTTTTTTATTTTATTAATCTTTACCGATATAATTTTTGTTGTTTTCTTCTGCACATTTTATAAAATCGAAGAAAAATCAAAATGTACATACAGATAATATATATATAAAGTTTATTGTCATTTGCTCTGTACCATTTTGATCAATAAATAGATTTGAATAATAATAAAAAATTCTAAAACCGTCTTAAAATTTGTTTTAAATATTTCTGTTTTGCACGAGAAACTTGGTTTTGCAGAAAAGTTACAATTTTTGCTTTGAAATATTTTATACTGATTGAAATTTAACAAACCAGACTTTTAGGGCGCTTCGCGCCTATCCTCTATTTTGACTTTTACTTGTGGCTCTATCTGTGAGCATCTTCTCTTTGTACAGTATAAAACAATAACAAAATAAAGTTCGTAGATTTTTACCTATTTTTTCGTGCATTGTTAAATTTTCATATTAATCATAAGCTTTTGGATACAACTTTTTGTATATCTTAGCTGAAAACTTTAGAATGAAATATCCTTAATCATCGGTTAATTTATCTAGAGATTAATAACATGAGAAGAACAAGCATTATTTATTCTCGAGATTAAGATAAAGATTGGATCAAGGATTAATCCCGATATCCACCATTCAAAAGTTCCCAACTCTGAGCTGAAAACTTTAGAATGAAATATCCTTAATCCCGATCGGTTAATTTATCTAGAGATTAATAACATGAGGAGAACAAGCATTATTTATTCTCGAGATTAAGATAAAGATTGGATCAAGGATTAATCCCGATATCCACCATTTAAAAGTTCCCAACTCTGAGCTGAAAACTTTAGAATGAAATATCCTTAATCCCGATCGGTTTATTTATCTAGAGATTAATAACATGAGGAGAACAAGCATTATTTATTCTCGAGATTAAGATCAAGATTGGATCAAGGATTAATCCCGATATCCACCATTCAAAAGTTCCCAGCTCTGAGCATCCAAAAACCTTCCCTGGGGTCATGCGAGGTCCCAAACAAAACTTGGGCCCGATCGGTTTAGTAGTTTTGACGTTTATTGGATACAAACAGACAGACTGACACGCAAAGTATATATATAGACTAGGCTTTTAGGGCGCTTCACACCCGTCTTCTATTTCGATTGAAGTTTTCTCTTTTTATACATGTAAAAACAAAAAATTCGAGGATTTTCAAAGAAAAAATCGTTGATTTTCAAAATTTGATTAAAAAATTGAATTTTGTTGGAGGCTAATTTTTGAATTTTTGATCATCCATAAACCTTCCCTATGGTCATGTGAGGTCCCACAAAAAGTTGGGCCCGATCGGTTCTGCCGTCGCGTTTTGACGTTTGTTGGATACAAACAAACAGACAGACAAGCAAAGTATATATATATATATATATACTAGGCTAGGGTGCGCCCACCTTCTATTTCAATTGTGAAAATTTTCTCTAAATATACATTAAAAAAAAATGCGCGGATTTTTTAAAAAAAAATTCGTGGATTAAAAAAAATTTTAAAATTGAATTTTGTTATAGGCTTATTTTTGAAAATTCGATTATCCATAAACCTTCCCTGGGGTCA